CACAAGAGTCACTTGCCCAAGATCAATGCCACAAGAATAAATTGATAACAAGAAATCAGTCAAGCATCTTTATCATAGGCATTGTTGCAATCTATCCAAATTAATACCAGATTTTGTATCAGAGATATTGATACCACATTAACAAATGTATTTCAAACACACTACATCAGCCACATTCTCATAAGTATAATTTCTAATGCACTAGCAAACATTAACAAATGTGCATTAACTCAATCAAAAATGCATACTAACGCTCAAACCACAATATGGTAATATCAAAATTCAAATCAATGTAACCATGATGAATTCATACCAAACACAATACAAAAACATCACCAAATTTAAATTGCTCTAGAAATAACATTATTCAAACCAAAATAACCAAGATAAAACCAAGTTCAAATGTTCAAAAATTGAAATCATTACAACCAAATTGAAATTTTGAACAAGAAATTTTAAAACTAAAACTAGAACTAGAACTCCTAAACACATCACTTCGAATCATCTTGCATTCCAAGTTGAGCCTTAATTCTTGCAATCTCATGATCAAGGTTATCAAACCGATCAAGAATGCTAGAATAATGTGACTCATGCTTCCTTGTCATTTCCATGACAGCATCAAGCTTATTGATCATAATTTGTTCAAACGGAGAAAACACTTTAGGTTTCGATTCTTGCTCTTGCACTGGTTCAGGCTCCACTTGTGGTGGCAGTTCCTCATCATGAGATGGAACTCCATCTTCGTTTGTTGCCGGTTCTAGTGTTGGAGGAACATCACCTTTGAACACCCATTTATCTTCTTGCTTTAGCATCCCCAAATGATGCAAAAAAGATTTTTCAATCTTGTTTGAGGCATGGAGAATTATCTTTTTCTCCCCTTGAAGATCCACTCTAGTCTTCTAAAAAATTCTAGACAGCAATAAAGCATAGGGTATTGGACCATCCTCATTTCTCCTAGCCTTCCAGATACAATCATTCACAACTGAAACCCAGTCTATCTTTTCCTTTTTCTTAATTACATGCGTCAACAAAATATCATCTCTAGACATTTGAGCATGGTTATGAAGCCTAGGTTTAAGAATCAATGCAATTATAAAATAAATCAACCTAGAGTTTTTCTTCATACCTCTAGTTAGAAATTTGTTGTAATTTGTGGTCTCCGGGTTTCTTTGACAATCCCTAAAGGTTGTCAGCTCTTCAAAGTCACCAAAATTGAAAGGTTGGGGCTTCATACTTCCTGTTCCACTCAGCCCAGCCACTTTTTTCAAAGTTAGACCATCAAGCTTTATGAGCTTTCCTTTCACCACTGATTGCATTATTCCTTCGTTGCTCGAGGCGAAGCACAAAAACAGCCTAATAAGCTCCGGGTAATACGAACCTTCCAGCTCCAAGAACATACCAAGCTCTTGATGCTCCAAGAGAGGAGTGAAGTTAGCAGAAATACACATAGAAGGGCGGGTTGAATATGTGTGTGTGTGTTAACAAGGAATTTTAAAAACGTTTTTGCAAGAGTGATGTTCTTCGTTCAGTGCACTTTTGAGCGTCAGACTGTTATGTAGAATTTGTTCAACATAAGGTCAATGCCTCTGAAGGGTTTATCATCTACTAAAGAAAATGTTTCATAATGATAATTATTGAAGTTCTTACATTTTATTTTCAAAATAGTTTCGTTTAAGGATAAGCAATAGATGAAACTTCCAGTATAATATGTTTGTTAAACAAAATTTACGTCTTCATGTGAAAAATAGTTTTAACGGGAATTATACAGTAGACGAAGTTTTCAAAAAGATTTTTCAATTAGGAAGTGTTCACGTCTGAAGAATAAATAAAATAGTGCAATCATTTTTATACTAGTTCGCTCAATCTGAGCTACGTCCAATCTCCTTCAACTGAAGGGTTCCACTAGATATGAAATGAAGTACACAAGTATTGTTAACCACTTCTGTCCCGTTGACTTCACTCATTAACGCTAGTATATTCTTCTCAGCCTCTTTAGGATAGCAGTGAGTGTTATGAACCACCCAGGTTAGAACCACTCCTGGTCCAAGTATTCTCGACTACTTCTGGCCCGCCAACTTCACTCACCAGCGCTAGTATTCTTAAACCACTTCTGGTTCTCCAAGTATTCTCGACCACTTCTAGTCTATCAACTTCACTCACCAACGCTGGTATTCTTAAACTACTTCTGGTTCTTCAAGTATTCTCAACCACTCTTGGCCCATCGGCTTCACTCACCAACGCTAGTATTTTCTTATCAGCCACTTCTGGCTTGCAATGAGTATTCTTTGACAAGCCCCTCCGGGCTTTACAAGTATTCTTTTGCTAGCCTCTTCAGGCTTTACAATGTTTGCTAGAGAGTTTTGGTTTGAGTGTATACATAACTCTCACAAAGAGGATTAGGAAATTTCCTACACTCACTATGGTTTGATGCTAAGATGTACATATTTGAAATTCTGTAGTTTACTAAGACTAATACATTAATGCACTTTTGACTCTATATGCTTTGTCTCTGGTTACGTTAAACCATGGGCTGGATATTACTCTTCTTTACGCTTGCACCATTTTGGGCAAAACAACCAATATCTAAGGTTTGAAGTTGAGGCTTATATAGTCTTGTGTTTTATGCCCGTTGCAACTTCCCGTTAGGGCAAATATAGTCATTCATGACTAGTTTGATCTTCGCATATAATGATCTGATTCTTGCATTAAATATGGATTCCTGTTTATAGATAATGCGTGAAGTTTTCTTGCTCAGTTAGTAGCTGTATCTGAATGTAGCAGAGTCCTAGGAAACTTCTGTCATTTTATGACCCTATAGCTGTGGAGCTTTTGTCCTTGCCTGAAAAAGTGATGTACTTTTTCTGACATATGCATGATTTAGCGTTTGAGCATGTTCTTCTTCTTTCTAATTTTCTTCTAATAATTCAAATGACTTCGTGTGTTCATCTGTGAGTGTAGACGATATTCAAATTCTCTTTTGAGGCTTGATTTCTCAGATGATTGCGTGTCATTCTTCATCTGTGTCTGGTAGTCGACATTTAGTTCAATACTTCGACCTTCGTCTGATCATTATCGTATTGACTTTTCCCTTCGTCTTGATCAACCTTGTATATGATCAAACTTTCAATCTCTTCTGGAATTTCTTCTTGGTCGTTGATCATCTTTCGTATGAGTCTTTATGTGTTGCCCTAGATTACACTTGGCATGGTCTTGTTCTTGATTTGGCTTGTTGAGTGCTTATGTTGGCCTTTCGTTTTGTAGCATCTGATGCTTATGCCTCTTCGTCATTTTCCATGTTCTTATATCTTTCTGAAACACTAACTCACTTGTTAGAGATAACAACATATATTATATTTGTCTCACTCAACCCTTTTTAGAATTTCTTCGTCTTACTTAAGAAGGAGTAAAACTGAAACCCTCACTCTTGAACCACTCTAACTTCAAATTCTTTGGAGGAATGATTCTCCTACCCACATACCACTCAAAGTAGTAGTCTTAGGTCTCTTTGTCAGCAAACCACTTGGACATCAGTTGCTCAGCTCTTGTGGACAGAGGTCTTTTGCTCCCCCTGACTTCAAGCTTCTTGATTCTCTTGGAAGATGAGGCCATTTTGTGATTAAAGATGGGTTCTTGATTTGGAGAAGAGAAGATGAAGATGAATGCTTAGGGTTAGGGTTTGTGTGTTAAACTTGAGAGAATGAATGGGTTTTATAGAAAATATGAGGGTTAAGTGATTTTAAAGCCCTAGACACCACATTGGGTAGAAGAGAGGTGCCACTTATGAAGGAAAGTGGGAGGTTGGGAGTTGGTGCAAATAAAGTCGTTCAAAAATCGTTTGGAAAACCAAGGGTCACGTAAATAATCGATTATCTATACAAATAATCGATTATTTGTATCAGTAAAAATAGTTTAAAAACCCTTTCTGCACTAAACAATCGATTATTTTTGGAATAATCGATTATTCCAGAGACTCATGTCTCATTTTTGCTCCCAGATAATCGATTATTCCAGAGGTTTACTCTTTCAATCCTACCCAGATAATTGATTATTTTCCAAATAATCGATTATTCTAGAGACTTATGGAATTTAACTTCTTCCCAGATAATCGATTATTTCCCAAATAATCGATTATTCGCCTAGTCTTACTTACAATAATCGATTAAATTTTACAATAATCGATTATTCAAGAAAAAATTTGTTTCACTATTTTAAAACCTTATAAAACTTTCCTCATCCATTTCATCTCTTAAAAACACTTTTTTATAAACCACATTCCAATATTTTATGCTTACATCAATCAAGTTTTATTCAAACAATCACACTCAAGTGCACATTCACAATCAATTCAAACAAAACTCATTGATAATTCCAAGTTCAATTCTCAATTGATTAAATCTTTCTTTTGGTAGAGGTTTTATAAATATATCAGCTAATTGTTTATTTGTTTCAACAAACTCTACTACACAATCATTCTTTTGGACATGATCTCTTAAAAAATGATGTCTTATTTCTATATGTTTTGTCTTAGAGTGTAAGATTGGATTTTTTGAGAGATTGATTGCACTTTTTCTATCACATCTTAAAGGAATTTTGTTCAATTCAGTTCCATAATCTTTTAGTTGTTGTCATCCAGAGGATTTGTGCATAATAGTTGCCAGCAGCTATGTATTCAGCCTTAGCTGTACTTAAAGCAACACATGCTTGCTTTTTGGTATGCCATGAGACAAGTGCACTTCCAAGTAGGTGACAAGTACCACTTGTGCTCTTCCTATCAAGTCTACACCCAGCATAATCTGAATCTGAATATCCTATCAGACTCTAAGCATATGGAAGTTTAATTTTGATAATGCTTCATTCTTACCATGATTATCATTATTACAAGCACTTATATGAGCTTCATAATCATTAAAGCTATTTTCCACTTATTTCTTTATAAAGCTATACTCCTACACCACACATTTTATAGATATAACATATCTCATAGCTTCTATGACAATTATTCATCCATCTCTAAATTCTGTAGAGATTCCATGAAAGACACGATGTAGGCAGAACATAAGCTCATCGTGCAGATCCCTTTTAACAAAAATTTAAACAAGCAGTTGCAATTGCACACAGCATATTACACCACATACAAAAAGGAACCACGTCATATTAACTGCGAATGAATTCATTATAAACACCATTGTAAGACATACAATGCAAAGGATGTAAAATAAGACAAAAAGAGACTCACTTTTCGATCTCTAACAACAATGTATGTATCATCTCTGCCTTTATCCCTGAGAAACCAATCAGAGATATCAATCCAACTCCATTACCATTCAAAGACATGGCAGAACACCACATAAATATATTTTCAAAAAATTCACCTCATACTCGTGTCTTTACTGCCATTGATATCAGAAACCGCAGACCGAGGAGCAGCCTAAAACCAAACCAAAAACAACGGAATATGAACAATTTGAAAAACAAAAAAACAGCATAAGATTTCCACCACACTACATCAACCAACACCAAAGGTACACTTTCAATTTCAAACCACATCGAATCCAATTGGTACTATCATTAAAATTTAAAACACCACAATATTTAGAATCTCATTAAAAAAAAAAAAAAAAAGGAAAAACCATAATCATCATTTATTCATTCTAACATAAATCACTCTTCCACAAAATTGTAAAACTCCACCAACAAATCTTTGGTTCAAGTGATACTGGACTCGACCATTAAGCAAGGCCTAAGTAACCTACAAGGCAACAACTATTAGTCGTTGGTCTGAGTGGTACTGAACTCGACCCCATTATGCAAGGACACATAACATCACTAAAGGTGACCAGTCAGGCAATAGATACTAGTCATTGGCAAAAAAAAACTGGTAAATATTTCATACTAAAAACGCGGTTATAAAAAAAATATATATATTTATATATATGTATGTATATAAAATTCCAAAATAAAAAAAACGAGTTTTCAAAGTCAGAACCTTCTTAACTGGAGGTGAGGCGGTGGGAGTGGTGGTGGCGTTACCCGCGTGGGGGAACGGCACGTGAGGCACCGGCCTGGTCACGTGCAAGGCGTGGCTGAGATAGTCCAGCGGCATGGTGCGGACGCCGCCGCCGCCATCGTGATTATGATATTGTTAATCTAGCATATGAAACCTGGGAGGTCCAGGATCAAATGCTTCTCACATGGCTGTAATCGACGCTCTCAAAGACCATTCTCTCACGAGTCATTGGCTCCATTCACTCTTATCAAGTGTGGGACAAGGTTCATGAGTATTTTCATACTCAAACTAAAGCTCGTGCACGACAGCTCTGCATTGATTTGCGTTCCACCACTCTTGATGGTAAATCCATGCGTGACTTTTTGACTCAAATAAAAAATATTGCTGATGAACTTGTTGGAGTTGGGAGTGCTGTGTCACTTGAAGAATATGTTGATGCTGTTCTTGAAGGTCTGCCTCAAGAATATGCACCTGTGGTCTCTGTTATTGAAAGCAAGTTCGTCACTCCTCCTATTGCTGAAGTGGAAGCTCTTCTTCTTGCTCATGAGTCAAGAGCTAACCGGTTTCGTAAGCAATCTTTTTCTCCTTCTATTAATTACACTCAGGGCTATTCTCGTGGCAGTATTAGTGGTGAATCTTTTAGAGATAGAGGTGGTGGTCACAGTGGGCGTCGCGGTGGTCGATGTTCGGGCAGAGGCCGTGGTGGTCGATTTGCAAATTTCCAGTGCCAGATTTGCTTCAAGTATGGCCATACTACCAATGTTTGTTTCTATAGAGCTGATGTTAATTATCAACTTGCAAAATCCCTTGTTTTGTATGATCCTACCACACTGTAGCCTGTGCAGGTCACTCCTTCTTCAAATCTTAAGGTCTCCAACACTTGGGTGAATCCTAATCAGAAACAGCCCAGCCAGGATGCTCATGCCAATGTCACACCAAGTGCTATGGTTGCTAATACTTCTCAAGCAGGTGCTAACTCTTCATGGATTCCTGATTCTGGTGCTTCGTTTCATGTTACTGGTGAGCCTCAGAACATTCATCAGCTTGAGCATTTTGATGGTCCAGACCAAATCTTCATAGGAAATGGTCAAGGTTTGCAAATCAATGGTTCTGGTTCTTCCTTTTTTGTTTCTCCTATTAACTCTCAATTTAAGTTTCAGCTGAATAATCTTCTTCATGTTCCCCTTATCACCAAAAATCTGTTGAGTGTTAGTAAGTTTGCTAAAGACAATTGTGTTTTCTTTGAGTTTCATGCTAATCATTGCGTCCACAAATCTCAGGAAACCAATGAGGTTCTTCTTCAAGGTATTGTTGGTGTTGATGAGCTTTATTCTTTTCCAAATCTAAAGCTCCAAAGTCCCTCAGCATTGGTCTTTTCTTCAGCTAAAATACCTTCTCAGTCTGCTGTCTCAACCTCTGCAGTTTTAGATAATTTCAATTTAAAAAAAAGTTCTGATGTATCTAGTTCTTCCACTATGTGGCATACTAGGCTAGGTCATCCTAATTCTCATGTTCTTAAGCTTGTTCTTACACAATGTAACCTTCTCCCATCAAATACATATGTTACTGAATTTTGCTTATCTTGCTGTGTTGGAAAGTCTAGACTTCCTTCTTCTGCGTCTCAAATTGTATATTCTGCTCCCTTGGATTTAATTTTCATTGATTTGTGGGGACCATCTCACATTACATCTTTTTCTGGTTATATTTACTATGTTGCCTTCATTGATGCATTCTCTAAATACACCTGGATATATCCCTTAAAATCAAAAGCTGAAACTCTCTCTGTTTTTCAACAATTTAAGGCTATGGCTGAACTTCAATTCAACACCAAAATTAAAAGTGTTCAACCTGATTGGGGAGGGGAATACAGAGCTTTTACTTCGTTTCTTGCCATAAATGGAATAGAACATAGACTGATTTGTCCCCACACACATCATCAAAATGGTGTGGTTGAAAGGAAACATAGACACATTGTTGAAATTGGCCTCACCCTTCATCATGCCTCCTTACCTCTACAATTTTGGGATTTTGCTTTAACCACTGCAGTTTATCTTATCAATAGATTGCCATCTGCTGCATTAAATTTTGATGTTCCTTTCACTATTTTATTCAGCAAATCACCTGATTACAAATTCTTAAGAACATTCGGTTGTGCTTGTTTTCCTTTCTTAAGACCATATGCCAGTCATAAACTTCATTTTAGATCCCAGGAGTGTTTTTTTTGGGATACTCAAACTCTCACAAAGGTTATAAATGTCTCTCTTCTTCTAGCCGAATTTACATCAAGGTTATCGATGGCGGATAACAGTCTATGGCGGTGAGGCCAAAAATCCTTTATAACTCTATGGCGGATGCCATGGCGGCCTATGGCAGACGTCATGGCGGACAAAAAAAATATAAAAAAATATTTATATATATATTATATACAAAAAAAAAAACAGCAAAACAATAAATAACAAGCAATAAAACTAAATTAAAACCAACATAATATCAACTTAAATACTTAAATATCATAATAACAATACCATAATTCATTGTCTCATAACATAATTGATTAAAACACACCAAAAAACATAGAAAAACAAGAGTACAGAAAGCATTTTTCAGTTCTAATCATCCTCATCATCATCATTCTCCTCCTCTTCCTCAATGTAATCATTCTCTTCATTGAATGCCAAAGGGGCATAGCCTTCAACTTCTTCACCTTCTGAATTGTCAAAGTTAATATTTGGCAATTCTTCCTCTGACTCCTCACTAATATCTTCTGAGTCTTCTTCAACAACTTCAACAATTTTTCCTTTTCCTTTCCTAGTTGAAGAAAACACTCCTTTGCCCTTTTTAGACGATGCTCCTTCCCCACTTGGAGGTTGCTTCCTTTTGTTACGCCTAGTATACATTAGAGGCTCTCCAACCCCTGAAACATCATAAACTTGATTCCAAGTAAGTGGATCATTTCCACCAAAAACCCTCTCATCTAGAGCTTCAACTTCATCATCATCATCCCCATCCATCTCTCCAACCAGCCATTCATTACATTCATCAATATCATTAAGGCTAATGGGATCAACTTCATCCTTAAGGTTGTATCTTCGCATGAGTGCTTGATTATACTTAACATAGACCAAGTCATGTAATTTTTTATGATCAAGCCTATTTCTTCTCTTAGTATGAATCTGCAACATTAAATTAAATAATTAAGTAAACATTTTAAAATATTTGGAACTAATAAGACTCTTCAAAAGCAAATTAATTACTTGCTCAAAGACGCTCCAATTACGTTCACAACCGGATGAACTACAAGTCAAGCTCAATATCTTTATGGCTAGTTGTTGTAAATTGGGGGTTGATGAACCATAAAGTCTCCACCATTGAGCTATAAAGTCAAAAGAAAGTGTGTTAAATATGGAACAATTAGTAGAATAGAAGTTTAAAACTCAAGGTTTAGTTTCTAACCCGGTGAAACCTTTTTCCTCATTGCTATAGCAAGTTCAGTCCCAAACAATTCTCCTGCAACTTTATAAGTGTGTAGCTCCATCATGATTTTTTGCTCCACTTGCAAATCTCCTACCAACTTATTCATGCTTGCATAAAACCCTCTTATAATCTCACTATCAAATTCCATTTGAGGGTTGTCATAATACATCTCTGGATTCAAAAAATGACCAGCTGCATGTAATGGGCGATGAAGCTGAACATCCCATCTTCTATCAACAATTTCAAACACGGCTTTATATTTAGTCTT